GCAAGGCCAGGTGGACTGGCACAGAGCGAGAAGTCAGCAGCTGCAGGGATCCAGATGAGGGGAGGGAACCCAGGCCACACCCCCCAGGCAGCAAGGCAGAAAAGCAGGAGAAAGGAGAGTAAAAGGCCAGGGGGATCAGCACAGAGCTAGGAGTCAGCCGCAGGGATCCACCAAGGCCACACCCCACAAGCTGCAGTGCGGGAAAGTGGGGAAAAGAAGAAGAAAGAGGACTGCTGGCCGGGACCTAGGGAGAGGCTGCAGTAGGGATCCAGGTAAGGGAAGGTTGGAGAGGTTTAGAACAGCTAAGGGAGACAAACTTGTCTGTCGGTTTGTCCTACTGTGGTGACATGTTGTTGTGAGTCTTGAGGCTGTGCCACTGGTGTTTCAAACCCAGCGGGGTGCACATGGTACACAGGTCTCAGCAGGGCTTGCAGACTGGGACAGACTAGGAAAAAGGAAGAGGCCATCTACTTCTCAAAGAATTGGGCAGGGAAAACCTTATGAATAGCAGAGAAACACTGTCTGATACATACATTACTGCACAACTTTATGAATAGTCCAGATTCATTGTCCAATACAGAGGAGGAAGATGAGTCACCTAGGTTAGAAGGGTCTTAAAATAGGAGTTGGAAAGAACTGCGTCATTACTGTAAAACCAGCCTTACTGATATGGATAAGGTAAAGCTTTCGAGACCTTCATTTGCTGACATGGCAAGACTTAACTTGAGTAGAAAAAGCTGCAAACATCCATTAATAATCGGAACATGGAATGTATGAAGTATGAATCTCGGAAAATTGGAAGTTGTCAAAAATGAAATGGAACACATAAAGATTGATATCCTCGGCATTAGTGACTGAAATGGACCGGTTTTGGACATTTTGAATCTGACAACCATATGATCCACTCTTCGGGAATGACAATTTGAAGAGGAATGACGTGGCATTCATTATCACAAAAGATGTTTCAAGATCTGTTCTGAAGTACAATGCTGTCAGTGATAGGATAATATCCATATGCTTACAAGGAAGACCAGTTAATACAACTATTCTTCAAATTTATGCACCAACCACCAAAGCCAAAGATGAGGAAATTGAAGATTTTTATCAACTTCTGCAGTCTGAAATTGACCGAGCATCCAGTCAGGATGTGTTAGTTATCACTGGTGACTGGAATGCAAAAGTTGGAAACAAAGAAGAATCACTGGTGGTTGGAAAATTTGGCCTTGGTGACAAAAATAATGCTGGAACTTGCATGGTAGAATTTTGCAAGACATGACTTATTCATTGCAAATACCTTATTTCAACACCACAAACGGTGGCTGTACACATGAACTTCACCAGATGAAACACACAGGAGTGAGATTGACTACATCTGTGGCAAGAGACGATGGAAAAGCTCAATAACTTCAGGCAAAACCAGGCCAGGAGCTGATTGTGGAACAGAGCATCAACTCTCATATGCCAGTTCAACTTGAAGTTAAAGACAATTAAAACAAGTCCACAAGAGCCAAAATAATGATCTTGAATATATCCCTCCTGAATTTAGAGACCATCTAAAGAATAGATTTGATGCATTGAGCACCAATGACTGCAAACCAGAAGAACATTGTCCATGAAGAGAGCAAGAGGTCACTAAAAAGACGAGTAAAGAAGAGAAGACCAAAATGGATGACAGAAGAAACTCTGAAACTTTCCCTTGAGTGAACATTAGCTAAAGCAAATGGAAGAAATGACAAGATAAAAGAGCTAAACAGAAGATTTAAAAGAGCAGCCTGAGCAGACAAAACCAATTACTGTAATGAAATTTGCAAAGACCTGGAGTTAGAAAACCAAAAGGGAAGAACACACCTGGCATTTCTCAAGCTGAAAGAACTGAGGAAAAAATTTAAGCCTCAAGTTGCAATATTGAAAGGTTCTATGGGCATAATATTAAGTGATGCAGGAAGCATCAAAAGAAGATGGAAACTACACAGAGTCACTGTACCAAAAAGAACTGGTTGATCTTTGTCCATTTCAGGAGGTGGCATGTGATCTAGAACTAACAGTATTGAAGGAGGAAGTCGAAGCTGCAGTAAAGGAATTGGGGAAGAGTAAGGCTCCAGGAATGTACGGAATACCCATTGAAATATTTCAACAAACGGATGCCCCACTGGAGGTACTCACTCAGTTATGCCAAGAGATTTGGAAGACAGCTACCTGGCCAACTGATTGGAAGAGATCCATATTTGTACCCATTCCAAAGAAAGGTGATACCACAGAATGTGGAAATTATCAAACAGTATCATTAATATCTCACTCAACTAAGATCTTACTGAAGATAATTCAAAAACAGTTGCAGCAGTATATTGACAGAGAACTTCCAGAGGTCCAAGCCTGATTCAGAAGAGGATGAAGAACAAGGGATATCATAGCTGTTGTCAGATAGATCTTGGCTCAAGGCAAAGAATACCGGAAAGATGTTTACTTGTGTTTTATTTACTATACGAAGGCATTTGATTGTGTGGATCAAGACAAATTGTGGATAATATTGAAGAGAATGGGAATTCTAGAACACTTAGTTGTACTCATGGGGAACCTGTACATTGACCAAGAAGCTGTTGTTTGAACAGAACAAGGGGACACTGCATGGTTTAAAATCAAGAAGGGAGTGCAGGGTTGTATCCTTTTCCCATAGTAATTCAATCTATATGCTGAGCAAATAATCTGAGAAGCTGGACTATATGAAGAAAAACGTGGCATCAGGATTGGAGGAGGAATCATTAACAGTCTGCGATATGCTGACGACACAACTTTGCTTGCTTAAAGTGAGGATAACTTGAGGCACTTACTGATGAAGATGGAAGAATACAGTCTGCAGTATGGATTATAGTATTACAGTATGGATTACATCTCAATATAAAGAAAACAAAAATCCTCACAGCTGCATCTATGAGCAGCATCATGATAAATGAAGAAAAGCTTGAGGTTGTCAAAGAATTCATATTGCTTGGTTCTACAATTGACGCCAATGGAAGCAGCAGTCAGAACATTAGACGACGTGTAGCAGCCCTGGGCAAATCAGCTCCAAAGGAACTCTTTCAAGTGCTGAGGAGCAAGGATGTCTCCTTGAGGACTAAGTTGTGCCTGACACAAGCCAGGATATTTCCAGTCGCTTCATATGCATGTGAGAGCTGGACAATGAAAAGGAAGATCAAAGAAGAGTTGATGCTTTTGAGTTGTGGTGCAGGTGAAGAATACTGAAAGTAGCATGGACTGCTAAAAGAACTATCAGATCTGTCCTGGAGGAAGTGCAGCTGAGATGTTCCTTGTTAGGGAAATGTCCAGACTTCGTCTAACCTACTTTGGTTATGTTGTCAGAAGGGAACATTACCTGGAGAACGAAGTCATGCTTGGTAAGGTGGAGGGTCGACAAAAGAGGGGAAGGCCTTCAACGAGATGGATTGACACAGTGGCTGTGACGATGGGCTCATGTATAGCAAGGATCATGGAGCTGGTGTGGGATCGGGTGGTGTTTCATTCTGTTGTGCGTAGGGTCGCTAAGAGTCTGAAATGACTTGATGGCATCTAACAATAACAACAGATGGTGCAATTATGATAGGATGCATTTTGGAATAGGGTGGTTGTGGTAGTCTCATGGAGTTGATTATTAAAATGTGTTTTTTGTTTGTTTGTTTTTACTTTTAGCTTCAGCAGCAGTAAGCAAAGTAAATAAATACTGCACCCCTTCCAACTTCCATTGCACTTGGGGGAAAAAGAATAACATCATGTCAAACATTACGATTGACCCAGATGTCAAACCTGGTGAATATGTCATCAAGAGCCTCTTTGCAGAATTTGCTGTTCAAGCTGAAAAGAAAATTGAAGTTGTAATGGCTGAACCCTTGGTGAGTAGAGCTGACCTATAAATCTGAAATATTTTCTTGACTTTGGTATTAACCATTATTATACACATTTCCCAAAGGGAATAATATACTTGAAAAAAATAAAAAGGGCTAGATTAGTAGTGAAGTAGTTATCCAGAAAACTGTAAAAAAAAAGCCTTTATAATCCACTCTAATAAATAACTCCAGGTCACAACAAGAACAGAAATGGACTTCGCCAATGGGAATTGTTGAGACAAACAAAACATAACAGAATGAAGGAAAATCTAGAATATTCTGCAAGTTGATGATATGATAGTAGCCAAATTTATAATAAGCTAGTAAACATTTTTATATTTGTAATACCTGTGAATAGACAATATGGTTAGTCCTATGTAATTAGAACCTCTGGTGAGGAAGGAGGAAGGAAGAAGCCTGAATACGAATGTGTGGATCAGATTGTGAAGACTTGTGAATACTATTATGATAGATAAAATAGTAACTGGACAATTAGAAGAGATTTAAGCAGAGACTATTTAGCTATTGTATGAATTTTAGGCTGGTGTGATAGTTGAAGATGTGTCAACTTGGCTGGACTCCAGTTGTGAGTGGTGGTTCCCATGATGGATCACATGACTGGGTTCTGAGCGGCCGGTCTGCCCAGGGGGAGTTTCCCCGGGGGTGTGGCCTGCCTGCAGTGCTATCCCAGGGACAGGCTGGAAGAACGGCATTCCGGACT